TCCATACATCTCTGACATGACTCACATCACTGATTAATGAAGTCATCTGGAATGAAGAAGAAAGCCTTCAGCAGGATCCCAGAGTTCATCAAGAGTCTGTGTGTTCATCTTCAACACCTCCTCCTTCATCAGCTCAATAATGTTCATGTCTGGTGACTGGGCTGGCCAATCCTTGACCTTCTCTGCTTTCAGGAGCTTTGATGTGGAGGCTGAAGTATGAGCAGGAGCGCTATCCTGCTGGGGAATTGTCCCTCTCCTGTGGTTTGTAATGTAATGGGCAGCACAGATGTCTTGATACCTCAGGCTGTTGATGTTGATCATCCACTCTGCAGATCTCTCGCACGCCCCCATACTGAATGAAGACCCCAAACCATGATGTCTCCTTCACCAAACTTGACTGATTTCCGTGAGAATCTTGCTCCATGCTGGTTCCAGTAGGTCTTCTGCAGTATTGGTGATGATTGGGATGCAGATCAGCAGATGATCCAGCAGAGATATCCACCTTCTGACACTTTCACACAACTAGAAGTGGGCGGGGCTTTCCCCCTCTGATGACACGTACAAAGGGAGAATGTCAATCAAAGTGCTTCATTCATCAAGTCTGATTAGAAAAAACACAGTTCAGTACTGCTGACCATTAGAGGCTGCTGGACACACACACACACACACACACACACACACACACATGCACAAATATAAACATATACACAAACACACACACACACCCACACAGGTCAGCAGACCCTGACTCTCTTGCTGCATCTCAGTCAGCTCCCTATCTCGTTCTTTAGTCAGTAATGTGCACTGTTAAGGGGGGATGTAGTAGTGTGTATCGATGCGCCCTGACTTTCACAGTGCATTGTGGGAAATTTTTAAGCACATGAACATTAAGTGCAGTGGAAGGATTCAGTGACTGACTGACTCTCCGATCTGTGCACTGACTAGCGAGCAAGGGTGCAGATTAAGACACACCCTTCAGCTCCACCCCCACCGGCGTTCACTCACCACACACATGATGTAGGACAGGATGGCGCCTGACGAGCCAATCAGAGCGCCGACGATGGTCATCAGGTTGTTTTCCAGCAGGAACCCCTCAGCACACAGAGCCCAGCCGGAGTAACTGTTCAACACCGTGATCACCACCGGCATATCTGCTCCACCGATAGCGGAGGTCAGCGTCACACCCTACACACACACACACACACACATATAATACACAATATACACACATATACATATAATAAACAATACACACACACACATACACACATACAATACACACACATAAACACATAATACACACACACACACACACACACAATATACACACCTAAACACATAATACACACATAACACACACCCCCCCCCATAAACACACACAGACATAACACACAGACATAACACACACACAATACACACATAACACACACACACATAAGCACACACAGACATAACACACAGACACACACACACACACAATATACACACATAAACACATAATACACACATAACACACACACACATAAACACACACACAGACATAACACACAGACACACACAATATACACACAAACACATAATACACTCAAGTAATACACACACATAATCCACACAATATACACACATACAATACACACACATAAACACATAATACACACACACACACACACACACACACACACACAGATAATACACACACACATAAATGAATATATTAGTTTCTGTTTGTGTGTTTCTGTATGTGTGTGTGTGTGGTGTATGTGTGTGT